CCGATTCATAACCACTACGCTATCAGAACAAAGCAAAACAACAAAGTGTATTTTCCACCTTTGCTCCGAGTTTACTGTGGCATTTTTCCATGATGTGTCTGCTTCCCCACTTGGTCTTGACATTGGTCTCACCCAAGTTGTTGGATCCAGGCCTCCAAGCCTGACAGATTTAAAAGTACATGATTTCTTACTTTCGCAACAAGTTCCACGAGCTATAAGCCTCCAAACTTTAAAAATATTCCTATCTATGTGGTTCTGAGTTTTGGAGCTCTGCCATGAACCTGCTTTGCCTGGTATCCTGTGGTATTGCTGACGGTGAACCTCACTGCACCTCCACCATAGCCGCCATGAAGCCCAGAGTTTATTTTTAAGATAAAATACTGTACAGAAAGGTAAAATAAAGTCTTTTCTTATTTATTCATTTTTACCTGATTCATCAATGGCTGATTTTCCTTCTAGTCTCAGGAACACCTCATTCAAAGTTGTCATGGAAACACCATAATCCTCAATGCCCTGATTAGAACATATATCAAGATCCCTGTAAAGGTCTAAAAGTAAGTACAGGAATAGGTTAAAACAATCTATTATCTAACAAAGTATAACTATACTATTCAAAAGTAGAAAATGTTTGTGATAGGCTAAATGGTTTCATGATAAATAAAACTCTGATACAAATGTTTCCTTAATTCTAAAAGATACAATTTATTCATTTCTGCCTTTTTTGTTTAAAAGTCTAAGCATTTATTTTTACATTCTTCTTGTCATTGTTGTAGTTATGTGTCGTTAAGTCAGTTCCTACCCATAATGACCTTGCACAGGGTTTCCAAGACAAGGCTGGTGGGTTTAAACTATTAACTCTTTGGTTAACAGTTCAGTTCTTATCCTACAGTGCTACACCATTCTTAGAAAACTAAATATTTGTGAGTGTGTATTCTTTTGAAAACATTTGCTTATAGTTTACATAATATGCTTTAAAACTTTTAATTCTCTTTATGGGAATTGCACCATTCTAAGTGCCCAATAATTAGAGACTATTTCCCAGGGAACAGAGATTTGTGCTTTCATTATTAAGGATAATTGAAAGGAAATTATAATAATAAATGCAAAAGAACTAAAGTTGACAAGAATATTTAAGTGGTGGAAGCCTTCCCTAGTTTATAAGAGTATAAATCAGAGGAAAGAACAAAGCGTTATGTAGTTTTGTTTGCTCATATGCTAGCTCTCATTCTCTCTCCTGTCTCTGACTGGGGAATGAAAATTATCCAAAAATCTTAAGAGACAAAAGGTTCGCTTCTGCATCCAACCATTCCGGCACTGCACTCCATGGTTTGATGGTGTGTTTATTTACTAACTATGAAGCCATCAGAAGCTCTATGGAGTAATGATGTGGCAGTCTGCTTCTGTAATTATTACAGCCTTCGAAACTCCACTGGGCAGTTCTACTCTGTCTACAGGGTCACAATGAGTTAGAATCAGCTCTGGTAGCATAGTGGTGATGAGTCAGGCTGCTAAGCACAAAGTCAGTGGTTTGAAATTACCAGTTGTTCCATGGGAGAAAGATGAGGCTTTCTGTCCCCATAAAGATTTACAGCCTCAGAAACCTTACAGAGGGTCACTATGAGTCGGAACTGATTCCACAGCACATAATCACCACCCTCATGTGATGCTGGGTTTATGGCAGCTAATTGCAACATGGCAGACTTACTGATGCAGGATGGCCCCAGTGCCCTTCACTAGAGTTGGGAAATTGTTTGAACCCAATAAAGTTACACTTATTTTAAACAAAATAAAACAAAAAAGCAAAATTATCTGAAAACTCTTGGGAAATGAAACAGCACATTGGAAGACCTGATTTTAAAAGTGTTGGTGGCACAATTATGAGAACTAGAGTGTTTGATGGAAGGCAGGTCAGTCACAATAACCCCTCAGTCACTTAAATTATAATATGACATTGTGGTGTTGCTGAAAGAATCTATTAATTGTACAATATTCTCATAGCTCCCCTCCAACAATCTGTTCTGGCTTCATTCTTGCACTCACTTCTGAGATAAATTCCTCAAATGTTCCTAGTAACTGATCACTTTGGACTTCAGAAGTTTTAATGTCTTCATGTCTCAGTTTATGTGTAAGCAATGTGGGGATCATAGGGGTTAACACTCCAGATGGAGTCCTGGGGTAGCACTGTGAGTCAATACACTGGACTGCAAAGTCATTCAACCTGCAAGATCAGAGGTTCAAGCTCACCAGTTGCTCCTCAGAAACCCTATACAGGGTTTCTATGGGTAGGCCTACAACTGACTTGACTGCACGTAACAACAACATTACAGATAATTAAGAAATGGCTGCAACTGAACATTGATAGAAAACTTCCAAAGGTTCAATCAGGATTTAGACAAGGACATGGAATGGCAGATATCACTGTTGACATAGATGGATCTTGGCTGAAAGCAGAGAATATCAGAAAGATGTTTATCTGTGCTTTATTGACTCACAAAGGCTTTCGATTGTGTGGATCATGATAAACTATGGACAGCATTGTGTAGAATGTGTATTCTGGAACACTTAATTGTGCTCATGAGGAAACTGTACATAGACCAAGAGCCAGGTGTTTGAACATAACAAGGGGACACTGAATGGTTTAAAATTAGGAAAGGTGTGTGCCAGGGTTGTCTTCTTTCACCATACTTATTCAATCTGAGGACATAATCTGAGAAGCTGGAGTATATGAAGATGAGCATGTCATCAGGAGAGAGGAACACTCATTAACAACTTGCAATATGCAGATGAAACTATCTTCCTTGCTAAAAGTGAAGAGGATTTAAAATAGCTACTGGTGAAGATCATAGACCACATCAATGTAAAGAAAACAAAAATCCTCACCATGGAACCATTAAATGACATCAAGACAAATGGAGAAAATATTGAAGTTGTCTAAGAATTCATTTTGCTCAGATCAACCATCAAACACTCATGGAAAAAGCAGTAAAAAAATCAAACAGTGTATTCCATTGGGCAAATCTGCTGCACAAGACCACTTTAAAGTGTTGAAGAGCAAAAATGTCAGTTTGAGGACTAAGGTGCACCTGACCCAAATCATGGTATTTTCAATAACCTCATATGCATGCAAAAATTGGAGAGTGAGTAAGGAAGACCATGGGATCATTGATGCATTGAAGGAGGATATTAAAAGTACCGTGGACTGCTGAAAGAACTAACAGATCTGCACTGAAAGAAACACAGCTAGAAGGCTCGTTGGAAACTACGATGGTCAGACTTCGTTTCTCCTACTTTGGCCATATGATCAGGAGGGACAAGTCCTGGAGAAGGATATATGTTTGGTAAAGTGGAAGGTTGGAGAAAATAAAAGGAGATGGACTTGCTCAATGGCAGCAACAGTGATTTGTGAGGTTGGCGTAGCAACAATTATGAAGTTGGCCCAGGACCAAGCAGTGTTTTGTGCATAGGATAGCTATGAATCAGGACCAACTCAATGGCACCTAACAACAAAACCAATTCTACTTCTGGTGTGGCACTGTAGGGTAAGCACTGAACTGTGAACCACAAGCTTATGGGTTCAAACCCACCAGCTGCTCCTCACAAACCCTGTACTGGGTCACAATTAATCATAATAGACTCAACAGCACTTAACAACAACAATAATACTACCACAGGAAGCTCTGGCAGTGCACTAGTTAAGTGCTTGGCTGCTAACTGAAAGGTCAGCAGTGTGGACCCACCAGAGATTCTGTGAGAGACAAGAGCACCATAAAGATGAAAACATAGTAAAAACCCTATGGGACAGCTCTACTCTATCCTATAGGGTCTCTACGAGTCACAATGGAGTCTTGGTGTGATGCTGTGGAATAAACACTGGACTGCTAACTGCAAGATTTGTGGTTCAAACCTACCAGCTACTCCTCAGAAATCCTACACAGGGTCGCTATGAGTCAGAATCGCTGCGAGAACACACAGCAGTAAACAGGCATATTTAGACTGATCTTGAAAATAAGCATTTTAAGATTACTGATGTATTAATGCACAGTTCCATATATTTAGCAATCTTTAAATGATTTAACTATTTGCCATTCTTATCACCACCAATAATGATAGAAACATCTTTCCAAATCATTCTGTGGTCTCTGTATTTTGTTACCTGGAAATTTGTTTGTTCTTTCCAAAGGCAAAATATACACAAGCTTTTCCTCACTTTGTGCTGTTAATTTTGCATCAGGGATGTGGTGTTTCACAAGTGATGTAATGCTCTCTGGATCACACATTTCATTCAGGTGTAGACTGGAATTGAAACAGACTATGTTAGTCACCAAGTGGAAACAACCCAAGTGCCCATTGGTGGATGAATGTATAAATTATGTGTGATGTGGACTATTGTTGTTGTTGTGGGGCATCAAGTCAATTCCAACCCATAGGGACCCTCCATAGGGTTTCCAAGAGCAACTGGTAGGTTTGAACTGTTGACCTTGCAGTTGATAGGCCAGTGCTTACCCTACAGTGCCATGCTCTGATGTGCACTATTAGTCTGCAGTAATAAGGGATGATGCACTGATACTTGCTATGGTGTGGACTCACCTTGGACATGGACATGTTATGTTAAGTGAAAGAAGCCAGAAACAATAGTCAAAGTTTGTAGGATTCCACTTGTATGTAAATTTCCAGGGTGGCAAACCCCATAGAGACAGAAAGAAGATTTCTGATTTCCAGGGATTGGAATAGGAATGGGAGAATAGGGAGGGATTACTTAACGGGTATGGCGTTTGCTTTGGATGTGATGAAAATGCTTTGAACAAGAAACAGGTGGCTATCACATCATCATTGGCATGCGCTCTGTACCTTTTAAGTTTGATGCTATGTGAATTTCACCTCCAGGTGGCTATCACATCATCATTGGCATGCGCTCTGTACCTTTTAAGTTTGATGCTATGTGAATTTCACCTCCATAAAACATTTGGAAGAATACCTTAAAGTTAGTTTTATCCAACATTTTCTCTAAAAATAATTTCCTAACTTGCGGCGTATATCTATCACCTCATTAATATTTATGAGACCAAAAATTGTATAAACTACTGGAAGACGTGAAAATACGTAGTCCAAACTGGATAAACTATCCAACGTGGCAGAGGAACTACTGTCTTTATTAGCTAAAAACAATAATAATGACCAGGGAGCTAAAGAGGCAGAAAAGAATGGGATGGTGGAGAGGATGGAGTCAGGAAGATTGACAAGAAACTATGGAAATCCTTAAAGTGAGCAAAAATACACACACCTGAAGTAGGTTAGGAACAAGGGTTGGCATCTCTTAAATCTCTCAGTGAGCAACAGGTTGTAAAAATATATTTTCCAAATTTTTACTTAAACATAGTCCCATTGTCTTTATATTTTCATTGTCTATACTCTCAGCTCTCCTGAATTCGGTCTGCAAAGACAGCCACCGTAGCTTCGCTTTAGTACAGTTCTCTTGGGACGGGCTTAGTAGTAGAGTCACCTACATTGGCAGACTAACACCGATGTCACAGGCTCACAACACTCCCAACCGAGTCTCAGATGCCCAGGGCTTTACCTTAGATGGTAACCGATGCCCCATTTCTTCTTTAGGAACAGAGAGGAACCCGCACACTTCAGCCTCCCATTGGAGATGAACACCTTCCGATCTAGGTAGAAAGTACAATCAAGCAATTGTAGTTTTCATGGAAAGAAGGCAGGGCAAATGCATTGATAAGTAATGTATCTTAGGAGCAGGACCCACTAAAATAGATACGTTCTAATTCTGGTGTGTGTAAGCCACTTTCTTTGTCGGGCAAAAACGAAATGGATGAAAATATGTTAGTTTATTCTCTAGTGTGGAGTCCCTGGGTTATGCAAACGGTTAATGTCTGTGCCTGTTAATGAAAGGTTGGAGGTTTGAGTCCATCCAGAGGCACTTAGAAAGGAAGGCTTGACTATCTACCTCTGAAAAACCAGCCACTGAAAACCCAATAGAAACAGCTTTACTCCGGCACGCATGGAGTCACCCAGAGTTGGAAGAGATTTGACAAATGTTATTTTTGTTGTTGTTTATTCTCCAGCATACTTTTTCAAATTAGCATGCATCCAAAGAATCTAATTGTTTGAGACAACTGATCTGTATAAGGAACGAAACTCACTGTCTCTGTGAGAAGATGCCATAGGCTTGACCATCACTGGACTGCCTTGCAGTGGAATCAGAATTCTTTTCTGGATAAAGCATTCTGGGAAGCAGACTCTCCAGTGGGTGGAATCAAGCTCCTCCTGTCTTGGCACATGGCACTCACCCGTGGAATATAATTGTGGACAGAGCTATTCACAGTCCAACCAGGGCCCTCACTCCTCACTAAGTCCAGGGAAGAAAGCCAACACTCACCAGCCAAGACGTCAGCCTCATCCATGAACTGGGTGCTAAAGAGTGTCACGTGGTTGGATTTGCGCTCCTTCAGGAGACTCCATATCCGGTGCCTTGAAAGAGGATCCAGTCCCGCAGTGGGTTCATCCAGCAGTAAAATCTACACAGTAGGGAAACAC